GTAGCAATGCATTGTACAAATTGAATGAGAATATTTGGTATTTTCATCTTTAAGAATAAAAATAGAATTAGATGAATAGAGGGTGCTGTGGAAATTTCATTTCTGATTATGATTTTGTTTTAAGCATTCAATCCATGGTAACCAAATCAATGGTCACTTAAAAAGACCATGCTTAAATGTGATATTTAAAAAAAAATCTGTGCTTCATATACAGAATATATTGAAGACTTCATGGATACAAGTATTGAACCATATATTAGAATATCACTCACCCTGTCATGTCCATTCTGCATAGCAATTCTCTTGTGTTTATCATTTTATTTGACTGTCAGGCAGTTTATAAGATGTCTTACCAGCTGGGAGTTGGTGGCGCATGCCTTTAATCCCAGCACTCAGGAGGCAGTGGCAGATGGATCTCTGTGAGTCTGAGACCAGCCTGGTCTACAAGAGCTAGTTCCAGGACAGCCTCCAAAGCCACAGAGAAATCCTGTCTCAGGGGAAAAAAGATGTCTTACCAGAGGAACAATACAATTAAAAAATCATAATTGTCTCAGCATGTCAAATGCTTCCTCACATAACAAGTTTAGACATCCTCTTTTATCCATATATGCATCATGAAAGAACAAAAGTGCCTCAGCTACAGAGCCTTCACCATACTTTGAGGGAATTGCAAAATCTTATAACCCAGACCAGATACTGTTTTAATTAATCTGATCTCTCTCCCTATTTTCATTCTGGTGGCTACACTACACCTTTACTAGTTTATTCTTAACACCATTTTATAATGTCATCAAATGGCTATTGCTGGGTATTTTCCAGTACCAAACTACCTCTCAAATGGTTTCTCAATTGATGTCTTCAGGTTGATGCCATTAAATCCAAATCCACATGCTCACTGGAACAGCCACGCACTTGGTCTAGTGAAGTCACTAAGTCGCTTCAAACATTTACTTTCAGAAAATGCATCTTTGACTATGCAGATTCAATCTAGTTTTAAAATAACAAATTATATTCTACCCCTGTATTTTTTTTTATTTAACTGGGTAAAGTTACTCTATTTTCGGTTTTCCTGTATGGCTTGACAATCATCTATTTCCCCCTATGTCACACAACTGTCAGTCTACAGGAAATGGTATTCTGCAGCTAATCAATGTCCACAATGAGAATTATCAAACTGTCAGATTTTTAGACTTCCTTCCATTAAAGACAGAGTTAAAATCAAAATACTGTAAACTGACTATAAATATTGTACTTGAAAATTATTATTACTTCTTTTAGACAAATGACTGCTACAATGAAACCAGAAAACTTCTATTTAGTGGAATGACTGATAACAGATTACTGAAACCCTGTCAGGAGAGACTACCTAAGAAAATACACACAACATTGATACTACAAATGGGATGTTGACATATTCTGTGCATTGCAACTTATGAGGTACAGAGACAGGAAGGAACATAGATTGTCCCTTCCTGGCCTCAAATGGGCCCAACACACTGCCTCTCCTAGGTAGACATTGAGTAGACCCGCTGAGTAAATAAAAGCAGAGAACCCTGAAATTGAAACTGAGTCCAATGCCAATACCAGCTTCCAATCAGCATTAAAAACACTCTGATTAAGGAAAGTCATCTGAAGCAAATTAGCTTAAAACTAAGCTATATAGTTACCTAAAGAGTAGAATGGGGCAAGGAATTGAACCACACTTGCACATGAATAATGATGAGGTTTAGGGGGTTATGAATTGATCTTAATTTGGGCAATAATTGCTACATGCCAGCAGTGCTCTTGGACACTACTTCAGCTGCATGTTTGCAAACAGTGTAGCTACAGAGTCAAGACTTAGATGAACAGAGATCTTTGTCAAAAATCTTCACAACCTCCCATCAAAAGCTATTTTTATAGAAATTGAATGTGAACTCATGCATGCCATTAAATCAATTTATCTGTAGTCTTCAAAGTGTCCTTTCTTCTCCTTTAGAGAAATCATAAATAGATTCAGCTAATATAAACAGCCCAAAGCCACATTTAGACTAATGCAGTTTAAATGAGATTTTAACCCTAGACCTCACTTCTTAAAAGCTGATTTTCTAATTGGATAGTGTGTTTTATATAAAACTTGAGGATAGTGTTGACTAGGTTCATGTAATGAAGGAAAAGTTGCCACCCTAAGGTCGACATCTGTTGACTCTCAGATGACAAGCAATATTCACTGTGTGAGATAATGGCTGTCTACTGACAGAATTTTGGCAATTCTATCTCATAATTTCCACAACATTCATAGCAAATGCAAATACAGCAAAATCTGAAGTAAGCAGTGTTTCCTATCATGGAACTTTGTACGTGTTCTGCCCGTACAGCTTACAGATTAATAGAAATGCAGCAGTCACCATGGAAGCAGTCACCTTTGACTGTGAGCTTCTAGGAACTAGGGTGTTTTGTTTTATTTTGTTTTGTTGGGTTCCTTGAACAGAGATGCAATTAATAAATGAGTGCTGAGTAGTGTTAATGATTGGTACTCAGAAGAAATGCAGTGGATTAATAACAAGCCCTGAATCAGATGCAGGCACTGGATTTTCTCTATACCTACCTGTTATCCTCTTAGGACCCCATGCATCTGCCAGGACTCTGGTGATAAGAAGGTTTTCTGGAAACTCAACCTGTCAATCCTTTTGTGACAATTAGTGTGTTCCATGGTACTATTTTCAGAAGTACAAGGAGAACTGGGAGGGTTCTCTTTGAAAACAAAGAGTTGGCATTCATTTCAATTTTGAGCTCATTGGGATGTCAAAACAGTTTTCTAAATTCACCTTGTTTGAACTGAAACTATGTGTTTAAATTATTGAAAAATTGTAGAGCAATTGAAGAGATGGCTTAGAATTTAAGAACACTGGCCTCTCTTCCGGTGGACTAGATTCAGTTCCCAACACCTACATGATGGTACACAACTATCTGAAACTCCAATTCCCAGGGATCTGATACCCTCTTCTGCTCTCCACTGGCAACATACATGTTTATGGCTCACAGACATGCAAACAGATAAAACACTCATATACATAAAACAAATAAACCTTTGAATATAAATATAGAACTACAAATATCAGAACATGTACCTTACTTCCAATGATTTAATTATATTAAACAATTATCTTTGCATAACCAAAAATAATATACGCTTCTTAAAGTCAATTCATATAAGTACCTGGGAAAATGGAAAGTATATGGTATAATTCAGATTATTTCCATCCATACATTTAAAATGAGAAGAGACAGGATATAAACAATTTACAAATAATTGGAGAAAAATGAGCATGTCTACTATATCTACCACAGTGTTTTAAATACTAATGAACAAGAATGAAAAGAGTAATAGCAGAGCACATGAAAATTCTTAGACAACAAGTTTTTCCAGGCAGTGTACTCAGGAACTGCTTTTAATTTTTTGTTTCTAAAATCTCTCCAGAAAATTAGAATTTTATGTGAATGAGAAAGACGTAGATTCACCTGGACCCCAAAGAAACAGCTTACTTGTTAGGAAAGAATATATTTCCAAGGCTCTGATAGTAGAGCTAACAGAAAACACAACACAGAAACAGTTATGGCAGATAGAATATTGCCCCTAAAGTGCAACAAAGATGTATCTTTCAAGTTTACCCATTAAATACCCTTTAATGTATCTAAAATGCCAGTTGTTTAATATAGAGCCATCTTACTGGTATTTTGTTCTTTTGTTTGCTTGTTTTTGTTTCTAATTATGTGTTTGTGCAGGGAGTTTTTGGTGTGTGTGTGTGTGTGTGTGTGTGTGTGTGTGTGTGTGTGTGTGAGAGAGAGGGAG